AATTTCGAATTTTTCACTTCCAGTGAAAATTTCAGTGAATAGCTCCTCGATGGTCATGTTCTCCTGATACTTTTTCAAAAATTTCGAATTTTTCAATTTCAGTGAATAGCTCTTCGACGTTCATGTTCCCCTGATACTTTTTCAAAAATTTCGAATTTTTCAATTTCTATACTTATCCTTTTTTACTCGATACTTTACTACTCGATCTTTTCACCACTTACCGATATACCGGGGACCCCCATATTACCCTCTGTTGGTATTTCAGGGATCCGCATTACCGACGGTATGTATTTCACTAGACGTGAAAATTTTAAATTTTAAAATTTTAAATTTTAAATTTTTCGAAATTTTTGAAAAAGTATCAGGGGAACATGAACGTCGAGGAGGTATTCAATTTTTAAACAATATTTCGACTGATTAGTCATTTACAAAAAGAAAATAGGAATTATTAAAAAAAAAAATAATGTTGGCGGGATCGAACCCCACCCGTCGGCGTGCTAGCCAAGCACGCTGCCGATTAGACAACGCACTCATTACGGAATTATAATTTCATTAGTAGTATATCTTCAATATATTGAATAATTTTTTCCATTGAAATTCCACAAGAAGTGGTTTCCCCTTTCCGCTCATTCTACAGTCGGCTAAATTTCACTTAAACAATTAAAAAACAAAAAGCATTCATACCGCAGAAAATAAAATTCACCCCGTTGACTTGATGGACACCCCAGCATTGCAACAAAAACTTGGTTAATAAAAAAAAAAACCCACCATTGCATGTGGTGCCCTCCCTTTCTTGGGGTGCAGTACTACGATGCCCCTGGGGTCACTCAAACCCCCAGAACTAAGCCTCTACTTCAGTCAATCCTTTTTGGAATCGAAAACCGCAGGCGATGGAGAATCGTCTTGCGTCGGCGCCGATTCAATAGTTAAAAACCAGTTAAAAATCGCGAATGCATTGTTGTCTTGCGCATCTCGAAGTGAAGAATCATTTGAATTTCGTGCCCCTTCGAGTGGATTATTAATCATTGGATCGATCTTGGCATCGGTTTTGTGGATGATTCTTGTTTGTGGTGGGTGAACGGTCGACAGACCGTCGCGTCGTTTCAGGAAAAAAGAAGGAGAAGCCGTCGGGCGGTTCCCCTCGTGCGGTGCAACAAGTGTCAGACTGAAAATTCATCTCAATATTTCTAATTGGTCGATTAATTGGATCATCAATTCCCCATCGAGGGGGTGACGGGGGTGGTTTTTTTAAAATTCCGGTGAGACATGGGGTGTGCTGTGAGTAACACCGGTGAAAAGGCCGCTGCCGAGAGGTCGAAAAAAATCGACAAGGACCTCAGGGCCGATGGAGAACGGGCAGCAAGTCAAGTCAAACTTTTACTCCTCGGTAATTATTTTTTCGATTTTTCATTGTGGTTTAATTGGGGTTATTAGACGCAGGATTTGGCATTCATTCACACGTTTACGGTTGTGATAACATCGGTGGGGATCTAGAGCGATTTTAGAGTGTGAAACCGTCGAGATTCACCAATTTTTATTGTTATCACTGATTTGCTTATTTTTTTCAAAATTCCTCTGGATATAATGGAATTTCGGGTTTTAGTAATGATTGGTCCGGAAAATTATTGGCTTTATTTATTATTAATTTATTTAACAGAAGAATGGTTTTCACGTCAATTCGGTGATTAATGGAAATCGGTTATTGGAATTCATATATTTTTGCAATGATCTCTTCATATTCATGATCTATTCACTTCTCCATAAATTCATGTCTGAAGTAAATTAATACCTTCGTGACAAGACGTGAGAGAATCGTGGAGTTGTTCTCTCTATTCGCCATTTTCGTTGGTTAATTAATTTCTAATTACCGCGAGATAATTTTCTCCAAAAATAATTTGTCCAGTCATTCACTGGCTGATGGATAATCCCCACTTCCTATTTGTGGGAATACATCATGTAATGCTCTCATGAATCACCCAATATGATTCACGATAAGATTCCGAATAATTCTGATCAAAAGAGGCAAAAAGAGAATGGGTTTTAATTGTTCAATAGCACTGGGGTTGTCCTCAATGATTGAGGTAATGAGACAAAAATTTTGGGAACACCTGGGTGTAAGGACGATGGGGATGATGGACTTTGTGGGATAATAATTGTGTTCATAACAAAATTATCGCTCTGAGGGGAAATGAATCGACGATAGCTGCGAGTGAATTAATATTTCCTTCCTATGAGTCGTGCAATTTCTAGAAATAGTTTCAGTCAGTGGTATAAATAATAATTTGCGTTGATATTGAGGGGTGAGCTCTGGTAGCACTTGAATTATTGCTGATTGATTGTCAATGGTATTTTTAGGGGCTGGAGAGTCTGGCAAATCGACGATAGTCAAGCAAATGAAAATTATTCACGAGACTGGATACAGCAGAGAGGAGTGTGAACAGTATAAACCAGTTGTTTACAGTAATACCATTCAGAGTTTAATGGCTATTATCAGAGCTATGGGACAGCTGAGAATTGATTTTGCTGATCCAAATAAAGCGGTAAGAATGGAGTGATTAATTAGGGATTGATAAGTTTGGATAATTTTTTAACTCTGAGAATATGAATTGACTGTGCCTCCGAGGAAAAAAATTGTCATCTCTATTATTCAGGGTAGTCGTATTAAACGATATTGTGACTATTTCAGGAAATAGCTCGACAGTTTTTTACCCTAGCATCCGCGGCTGAGGAGGGAGAATTAACTGGTGAACTAGTATTATTAATGAAAAGATTATGGCAAGATGCTGGTGTTCAGCTTTGTTTCACACGCAGCAGAGAATATCAGCTCAACGATTCGGCAGCGTATTATCTAAACGCACTCGATCGTATATCCCAGCCAAATTATATTCCAACACAGCAGGATGTACTCAGAACGAGGGTCAAAACAACTGGAATTGTCGAGACTTATTTTTCGTTTAAAGGATTGCACTTCAAAATGTTTGACGTTGGTGGACAGAGATCAGAGAGAAAAAAATGGATTCATTGTTTTGAGGGAGTAACAGCCATAATCTTTTGTGTAGCCTTGAGTGGTTATGACCTAGTTCTCGCTGAGGATGAGGAGATGAATCGAATGATCGAGTCAATGAAGCTATTCGACTCAATCTGCAACAGCAAGTGGTTCGTCGAGACATCGATAATTCTATTTCTAAATAAGAAAGATCTGTTCGAGGAGAAAATAGCAAGGAGTCCCCTCACCATATGTTTCTCTGAATACAAGGGTAGCAATGCGTTCGAGGAGTGCGCTGGTTACATTCAGATGAAATTCGAAAATCTCAACAAGAGAAAGGATCAGAAACAGATCTACACGCACTTCACCTGCGCCACTGACACCTCTAATATTCAATTCGTATTTGATGCTGTGACTGATGTTATTATTAAAAATAATCTGAGCAACTGTGGGCTGCTAAGCTGAATCTGTGGATTAATTGTTTGCGTTGATTAATCGTCATGTTTCCCTCGAAGAAAAAAAAACGATAATATTCATTGGAGATTGAGAAGTAAACGCTCGGAGATTTATTAATTCTGTGAGAAAAGTTCCAGTAGTTCGGAAATTCAGTCATCGTGGCTTTTCGATTAGATGGTATTATTTATGACGTCTCATATTTTGTATTTAGAGTTATCAATCATTTAATATTAGTGACGTGGGTCCATCTCTGTATATAACAACAAGATTATTTTTTCATGAATATATCTAAGAACAAGGGCAATAATCGTGTGTTTAAGACTAGGACTTCATTTTTTTTTAATCAATTCACCATGACTGGTCTCGAGATTCTTTTGGAGATTTTTTTTATAGTGTCACTTTTATATGTTTTTATAACATAACGTGTAATGGTTCTGACACTTGACGCTATTATGGCGTAGATTTAGGTTTTTTCAAGACATTTTCATCACACCGCACACTTAATTGATTAATAAAATTCATAATGAAATTATTGTGATGTGCTGCTAAGCAATATTCCTTTATTCAATTCGTCCAACAACGTTTCGGTACATTCGTCGAAATTACTCAGTCCATGTCAATTATTTTTTCTAGATTTCAGGTGCAGACAATTTTTTTTCACTAATCACATTATTATTTACAGGCATTAATCTACGCAGGAAGCTGCGAAATAAATTAATTACAATATCTTCATGATGTTTGTCCGAGAAATTCATACGTCTTGAAACTTCGACTTTTGTTATTAATTCACAATCATTTTAACTCTTTACAGTTCAACATTTCGATATAGAACACCCCATGAATTTGAAACTTACAATTGGTCAACAATTCATCATTTTTTTCATAGAATACATGCAATTAACGTAATTGCAGTATTGATATTATGCAAATACTGGTATTAGGCTTGTTTGATCTCTTCTCAATCCCTGCATTGTTATTTCTAAATGGATTTTTCATAATTCATTCATCAACGAGTGATATATTCTATTCGGTAGAAGTACCTTGCGAAAAAAAAATACTTTTGACAAAGAATATCTACTAAACAACGAGAACATTCATTATTGAATATTAATTTCTCGACTCCATTTTTTAATGATGAGCCGAACAATCACAATTCATCTCCCCATTTGTAACATGTTCTGCAAAAAGATTAAAAATTCATGCAATAAAAATCGTTCAAAAACAATTCCCTGGAAAAAGCAGATGAAAATAAATTCAACTATCAAAAAACCGAGAAAAACAAAATTCTGGAATGCCAAGTGAACCTCATCAATTATTTCTAGGAACTTATATTTTATTCGTTGAGGTATTTAACTAGAAGCTAGACACTGAGCTCCATCGAGTCCCAAAGAACGAATCGAGGAATATTTCTGAATCCAAATGACATATCAAAATTTGTGTAAAGATCTTTTTTTACATCTCATTTCGTTCTACAAAAAATGTCTTCACAAAAAATTATAATTTTCTTTACATTCAGAAATATTCTTCTCAAACAAACCTCTTCGCTACTAAAATAGAAATGTCAAGTTCTACATTTCCTTAAATTACATAATTTTGCGAATTCTTCCTGAGAAAAACTTTACTGTTGATTTCTGGCTGGAATGGGTGGCCCCCCAGTGGTCCTGGCAGGTACAGGGGGTGGCATATTGGGCGGTAGACTGGGTGGTGGATGCTGAGGGGGTGGAAGAGGTGCTTGCCTTTGAGGAAGAGGTGGAGGAGCTGAACTGGGAGGTTTAGATTCAACACTGTCCCCAGGAAACCTGGGCAGAGGTGGTGGTGGCCTATTGGGTACAGGATAGCTGGGTGCCTCCTCGAGGATCTCCTCATAAATCGCTGACTCTGGTGAAAGTCTTTCAGCCTGATTTACCCTGGCCTCCTCCCTGAACGCACTCGCAGAGTTTGGAAACTGATTTCCCACTGGAAATTGATTAGGAAGAACACTGATAACACCAGCCCTGGGTCCTGGTTTCCTCTCTCTGGCGGGTGATCTGGGTGGCTGAGCAGGACGTGCAGGGGGTGCAGGCCTGGGTGGACGTCCATCACTGGGACTTGACCTTCCAGAGTGCACATCCTCGTTGATTTCCAGTCTCTCCAATCTCCTGGTGGGTGAATTCTCCTCGTACTGAGCCACAGTCGTATTACTGCATATCTCAATCTCCTTCTGAATGAGCTGCACCCAATCAGGAGACTTCAGAGATAGCTTCAACGTCTGTCCACATACCTGAGTCATACCCTTCCTCGCGGCTGAGAGGGCGCACTGTCCATCCCTGAATGTCACCCATATCGTCTCACCTACGAATCTCACGAGTATGACTTCTCCGATGTGTGATAAATCCTGGAGTAGAGCCAGCATGAAATTATCATCGAAAACACTGTCGATGTCATCAGCCTCCTCCACAGCTTTCACTATAATCGTGCCATCGGGTGGTCCCAAATCCTGAATAACTTCCCTGAACACAGCCTCTCGTTTATCTGCATGGACCACATGAACGTCAACATCGATCATGGCGATCACAGGTCTGTGATCACTTTGCTTTAATTCAGCCCGACCATAATAAACAAGTCTCCCAGGATTCCAATCAGTTGGTGAATCAATATCAGGTATTTGTTTACGTCTTTTCCACAGGACTCGATCAGTCCAAGCAGGCTGCCTGCACTTCTCACTGGTGTCATAATCATCTGAGAATAAATCGTACTTGTAAGTCGGTGGAAAATTGACAGGGCCTTCCAGATAATTCTTGAAGACGTTCCCCTGGTCCTGCTGGATCTTCAGCTGATCATTCCGCAGAATCTGATCAATCTCACCCCTTCGAATCATCTCCTTCATCTCCTCCTTGTCCATGTCAACTCGGTAATTAAAATCCCCACACCAGAACACATAATCGTGAGTGTTGAGGGTTCTTCCCATTGGGAATGCAAGCTTCCTGGTGATCTCGGCGTAATCGGCGTTGCGCTCGTTCACTTGGGACTGGCCAGCAGCGAAGTGAGCGCAGACAAAGCAGAAAGACGTGGAGTAGAGGACACAGCGAATAGCAGCAGCTCCTTTATTACCAGTAGCACCACCCAGTCCTGTTTTCACACAGTCAACAGCGACGTCGCGCAGGTGAGGGGCATGCTGGGGCCTGATGAAGAGGTACAGGCAGACACCCACCAGTTGTTGATAAGTTATCAAGATGTACTCGTCATCCCTCGAGAGTACCTTTTGCAGTTCATCAGCCCAGGCTTTGGCATTATCTGTGCTTGCTGCCATGATGTTACTGGCATTCAGATCGACGATCTCCTCGAAACCAATGGCGAAAATATCGACAGGGATTCCATCGAATTCCGGGGATACCAGGGACGTCGAGGCGTTTCTAGGTGCGTCCAATAACCAATCAGCCACGGACACGTCCTTGTAGACAACCGATCTGAAGTGCTTGCCTCCATTCACATTGTACGTTCCAACACCCACTCGCAGGTTCATTGGTCTAACGTACTCATTGTAACGCTTACACATCTCTCGAAGAACACTTGGAGGTGCGTGCAGCATGTTCGAGGGGAGGAGTAGTCTTGCTCGATCTGCCAACTCTGTGTTCAAAGTCGAACCCAACAGCAGTATATCAATGGCTTCTTGTTTGTTCGAGTCCAAGAGATTATTCTGGATTGTTCTTGCAGCTGATCTTGCTCCGTCCATCAGCTTTGAACTACCCTGAATTGCTCCAGTGCCTGCATAAATCTTGCTCACTTCGTTACCGTTATTTATCCACATCTGTCTGAAGACCTCCTCGAATCTGGAGACCATCTGTTGCTTCTCGAATAGTTTGAGATGTGTCAGCTGTTTCGAGAGAACCTCCAGAGCGAAGAACGTCTGCACACAGTTGGTGCGGTCCAGGCAATCGAGGCAATTCGTTCTGATGGTACCTGATTGTTCATTCAGAACTGCACCACCCACTGCGTAGAACAGGGAGAACGAGTCCAGGTATTTTTCAACTTTAGCTTTCAATTTCGAGAGGTTCTTCATGTTTCCTCCTCGGCACTCCTGGTGGTAATCGAATATCACGTGGGGGACGTCTTTGTGGTTCGAGCGACTGTGGTGGGTCTGGAATTGTTGGCTGAGCATCGCCTCACCCTCTTTGCTACCTATGAGGCTTGATCCAAGAAGATTTACAATCACTTGCTGACCGTAACGTTGTTTTATCATGGAGAAGTGACGGTCGAATGCTGGCGCAGATGCCTCGAATCCTCGGGATATCCTTACCTTGTGAGAGCCCACCTGGACCCCCGGTTGCTCCCAGAAGAGTGGCACCGAACCCCGAGTCTGGACAAACGAAGTCACTTCGTTGTCCAGGTAAATTATTTGCTCAGTCTCCACGAAATTTGCCACGTGACCGTCGTCGTTCGTTCCACGAACGTTGAATCTGAATTTTCGAGGAGAAAATTTGTTCATACATAAAAAATCAATGGGTTGTTATGAGTTTGTGGAAAAAAAAAGGGTCTTGAAGGAATTAACGGAGGATTTTGGCATTGTGGCTTGGGATAATTTACCTGGTGCCAGCTCTTTCGCAGCTGAGACGAGAAACGACAACTGCTCGTGCCTGTCTGTGACCAACATAAACTGTCCTGATCTCGACACTTCCACACATTGCCTTCAACAGCCACTCTGTTGTATTCACCCCGAACCTCAGCAAATGGATGTGAAGCATTCGATTCCTAGCAAGATCGCAATTTCATTTTATTAATTTCCCGATCAATTATTCACCTTGAAAATTTGTTTGAAAAAATTTCGAGATGAATCGATAATTAATTTCATCAATTATTTTTATTGACAATATTCACGATAAAATTCTCACCAGAAAAATCTGTTATCCGTGATAGTAGATTTATATCTTCTCTGGACACTTAGTGTGATATCGAGTGCCTCCTGTTGTCCAGCGGACCACGAAAAATAGAAAGTGCCAGAATTGAGGACCTTCCTGACCTCAGAGACCCTGTCCTCACTCCCCTGAGTGTAATGCAAAGGGACAAATTGGGTCTGAGTGATCCTGAATATTTCAGATTCTCCGATTTTCCCGACGGAGAAGCATCCGGTCACCAGGACGAGGTACAAAAGGGTATTTTCTCCAGCGTTGAGCTGGAGTACCCCCAGGCACCCATAGGCATCCAAGAGTTTTGTGTACTGAACCTTTAGTGATTCTGTTTCCTGGGCAGCTATCACATCAGCATTGAAAAATTCTCATATCAATATTTAAATAGAAAATGATTTTTTCACAGGGAGAAAAGCTGCTGTGACGCCCACTTATTGACGATTGACAATGAATTATTCAGATTTGAGGGTTTTCGTGTATCGGGGACTAATTATCGACTGTTAACCGGGGATTTTTATTTTTTTTTCATCGTTAATGATGTTTTTACTCACACAAAACAGCAACTGCCTGGGACTCAAAAAGTACGGTATCCTTGCGGTTCCTGTGCTCCAAAATGAGTGAATGTGGACTCGGAGGTTTTAATTTCTCGTATATCCTGAAGCCCTTGCCCATCGCCATTGTTAATATTCCCTAATTCGTCCCCCGGTATTATTAATTGTCTTAAGTCTGTACTGACAGGTAACTCAGGTATACGTAAACCGGTCGGTTGGGGATTTTTTTTTCGCAATAATTATTTTTATCTTCTCCCTCGGGGTACTCTGATCGAACGAATCACCATCGAGTGGTTAGCCCCGAGTATTTTTCACAATTGACACTCGAAAGAACTTTCTGATTTTCACTCGATTTACGGAAATTTTCCTACTGATCTCGGGGAAAATCGTCGGGCTTGCACTTCTTATTTTTCACTCTCCGCGGATGGTTTTTGTCTCTTTTTATGTCATGTATTGTTGTTTCTTTTTTCTCACTTCTTCTGCGAGGTGGGGGACACACTTATGAGGGAGATTTTGTGCGCGTGTGCCAGTCGATACTCGATAGTTCTGACGATATGGCATTTCGAGAGATCGGAGGTGTTCGGGAGGCGGGAAAAAAAGAAATTTTGAAAGTGAAAGGGAGACGCTCATGCGATGAATTATCCTTATATATAAAGAATATCAATCGACTTATATCACTAAAGTGGCCAGGGCGGCCCTAGTAATTGAATAATTCACGTTCGAAAAATGGAGGAAGGAACGATAAAAAAATCACAATTGAGTCATTTATTTACGAAATTGTTTACAAAGCGCACGAATTTACTAAAATTTCACACGATATTTCTCGCATCAAACTTACCACCTAGGAATTTTAATATTCGGAGGAGACTCATCGAATTTCGTCACTTAAACTCTAGTTTGCATTATCATTACATATGAATTGTTACAAAAGATTGTATCACTCCACATTACACACAGGCTCACAGGAATATGTACATGAATCATCGTTGTATCATGCTCCCTCACGATGATTACCAATGATTGAGTAATTTGAGAGGACCCTAATCAAAGGTGAACGAAAAAATCCTATGGATAACAATACTTTGTTTTTAAGGAGATTTAACGTTCGAAAAAAGTTCATCATTTGCAATAACAAGGAGAAATGAATTTGATGAGCGGTCGTTGACTGTAGACTTTTACGTTGTACTTTTGGCACTGGAGAGAGGGGAATTCCTGCATTTTCCGTGCTCCAATTACCGAATTAATTATTCTTTGTAGGCTATCGTTTCTGGTCTAGGTAATACTCTCACAACGTAATCTCCTTTCATAATACATTTCTTGAAGTGGCAAAATAATCATCAATAATTAATTTTACATCCACTCTAAATGTTCCATCAATATTTTCAAGTAGTTCATTAAAAAAAAAATTCTAAAAGCCTTTTTGAAGGAAATGTTCCTATCAAAAAGGTTCATAATTCTCCTGAAAAATCATCCCCTAGAATATTTCGGATTTTGTGACAAAAATTCAAGAGAGCTAAAAAATAGTTTCAAAAATATCGAAAGACCTTTTGTATCTGATGAATTGCTCTCAAGTCATTCATCTTGATGAAATTCATAAAATAATACACTAATCGTTAGCTTATCTTAGTCAGCCACTTTATGACTCGTTTCTACGACTATTTCGATAGTTTCTCAAGTCCAATCAAAATCATTGCTCCTACGGATGAAGGAGTTTATCACTTGGTTCGTCGCTCTGTAAAAGGTAATATATTTTCTCGATATAAACTTCCTTAATAGAAGAAGAATTGTAGAAATAAAATAGTCCCATTCTCAATTCTTTGCAATTTCAGTGGGACTTTCCAGTAAATTAATTATTTATTTATGAAATTATTTTCAGTCAGGAAATTTTCATGTTCTTCACCTCTAAAAAATCCTTGAGCAAAGTCTGTCGACGTTTTTCAGCAATGTCCATTTGATTCTCAAGATCTCCACGATCAGTCGTCTCAGCTCTCTCGATTTTCCAGGATAGATTCTCGATTTCCGCCTCAAGCTGCGCCTGCTGATACTCGAAGAGTGCTTTTCTGGGTCCAGATTCCATGTAATAAGCGTAAGGGTAAGTGTACTGAAGAGTATAGCGACAACGAGCGAGGAGGGAGGCCGCCTCAAAGAGATGCTGCCAGTCAATCCAGGTGCCACTGGCATCCATCACCTTTTGATTTATTCTCGATTTCATCTTCTCCAGGGTCTGCTCCTCGAGTTTCAGAGACTTGCTGTGGTTCTCCCACTGGAATACAGATAATCAGCTAATAATTATTCTCATCGCCAAATATTTGGAAAATATATATTTCAGTGTTCATCGACAGACGACAATTTAATAATTTACTGTAGACTTTTTTTTTATTTTATGCTGAAATGATCGTACCCTCTCGTAGTAGTGCAGATATTTCTTAAGTGCCTCGCGTGCCTGTGCATGAACACTCTCATTACCAATGTTTGGGTTATCCTTGTAACGAGAGCACTCGTAGTACTCGCTACCATGTGCTTTCCAATCGTTAAGGCACATCCAGCAGAATTCAGCTTTGCACCCGTAACACTGCATGTGATTACACCCACCATTTTTCTCTATACATACGTGACATTTTGGACAATCTTTGGTATGTGCACTTATGTAGTTTGATGTTTCCGAGTCGTCAGCACACTTTGTCAACCATTTTTTAATTATATTGCAGTCAGTTGGTGCGTGGTAATCAGTACCACACCGTAAGCTTGAATAAAAAATTTTTGATTTAATGAGAAATTGCATATTAAAAATCGATCTTTAATTTTCTGAATCGGAGAAATTACCAAAAAACAGTTCTGCAGGCCTGGCATTGTACACGTTTAGCCCTGAGCTCCTTGGATCTCATAACAATCTGGCAATTGGGTCCGGGGCAGAATCTGAGTTGTGGATGGGACTTGACGTAGTCCCGAAATGCAAAGTGCTGGTATTTATCTCTCATCGAGGGTTTCGTTAACAGTTGGAGTACAAAGTCCTCGGGCACTAGGACTTCGCAGTTTTGCGCCATGCAACCGATGTCTGTGGAAATTCCCTGGGTGATTTGCACCTCGAAATGCATGCACCAGCAGTCCTTGCAGAATGAATGGCCACAGGTGAGTGTTGCAAATTTGTCAGGATTAAAAAGTGCCATGCAGACGGTGCAGGTGCCACCTTTACGTCCCTTGGAGGCTGATGTGGGATCTGGTGGTTGACTTGGTTTGATCCTCGAGCTGATTAAAAGACTCGAGGCATTGTCTCGGTATTTAGTCATGACTTCCTGGAGGGCCCAGTCGTGGGTGTGGAGGAGGACTTTTGCTAGCGACGGAGTTATGTGGAGACTGTTACTCAGAACTTCCACATTTTCATTCAAGAGCCTCTCGACTTCCTCCACTCGGAGGCAGTCGTGGATGGCGTACTCCGGGTCTCGTCGGGTTTGATCTGCTTTTTCCACCTCATTGTCAGCATCACCCCAGGGCTGACAGTTGTAGTAGTCCTCGTATCCAGCTTCACTGCCGTCAGAGTCCGAGTACTCCATATCACTCTCAGCTTTTTCTGCAGACATCTGGAAATCCAGATTCATTTCCCCTTTACACATTACCCGGAGAAAAATCTCCAGTGGATTATTATGATGATTTAAAAATTGAAGGAAGAAAACAATAAAGTCCAAATAAAAAGAAATTGCACACTGAAATTTGGGGTTAATAAAAATGACAGATGATCTCATTAAATAATAAATCATCCCCAGAAAAACGTCTTTTGACCTAAAAAATTTCTTGATGTTATAAAAAACATCTAATCTGAGGAAAGCATCAAGGGACTTTCTCCGTAACACAAACATCATCCAGGATACGAGGGTATTTAAATATTAAATACCCTGAACCGTCTCGTGAGTCCAAAGACTCTGTACCTGGAATTATTGTTCAGACCTCGAGATTATTGACTCCAATCCTCCATAATGACGTTTCAGGACACACGAGGTGTCCCACGAGAGAGCAGAAAAGAGAAAATTCCACTGCTTCAAAAAATTTCCCCTCCCCTTTCCATTCTCAAAATAATAAATAAAACATGGATTAACCTTGAAACGGTGATCTGCGTTGCCTCTTCTTCACTCGTAATATTATCACGATGTACACATTTACGACAGTGAAAATGTTAATGACGTGAAAATTTCACGACTTTGGAAGCATCACCTCACTTTTCCTGCAATAACGGAAAGTATGGAGGTCCCTTTCGTCTTGCCCCCCTGTTTGGAAGGTGCGGAGGCGCTCCAGGAGTTTCGGAGTTCCTCTTTCCACTTTAGTTCCTCAATCTCTTCGATTTCCTACACTCTAGAGATACACCAGCGTATTGCTTGTAGCACCCTCTCTCCCGTGGAGTGACGTACTAGAATGCCGGTGGTATCACTCAAACCGCCAGAACTGAGTCTCTGCTTTAGTCAATCTTTTTTGATTGCCGTAAACGCTAAACGCTGTTCTCCCCTATAATTTCTATTGAAATCTCACCACAGATTCCAAAATGAGTCAACAATTATATTGGTAATATTCAATTGATAATGACATCAATTTATTTTCTACGTATGAAATATAAATATTCTCCTCTTCAGTAACCCGAGGGAGCCTAAAGAGTGGAGTCATAACTTCTGCAGGAACGGTTTTTACTCCAGTACAGAAGTCGAGAGGTTTCCAGTACCTGATGAATTAGTTGGTTGGAAAGTTGTAAGTTTAATAATTAATCTGTGCGGGGCTTGCGCTTGAAGCCTATCGTAGATATTCTAAATGTTGAATTTCTTGAATCTAAGGATTGGCCGGAATATGCACCGGTGGAATACACGTCCTCAAGTATTCACGGGAAACCATGGGCTGATCCTGACATTTCAGATTCTTCATTCAATCCCAAGTGGAATGCAGATGATGGTAAACCTTGCCGTTATTTGATGGCTAGAATTGTTCTTTTTTCTGTTCTCGATTATTGTGGAAGACTTCAGAAATTCATTGGTGAAGTGACAGCACTATTTTCGATAATTTAGGACCTATCAACCGTAACTCGTGGGGACGAAAGTTTGGATGTCCCTCTTATATTATCACAGAGGACGGGCGACCAAGAAATCCACTAGGTCGCACGGGAATAACCGGTCGAGGACTCCTAGGTCGCTGGGGTCCGAATCACGCAGCGAATTTCATAATCACAAGGTGGAGATCCGACTCCACGTTTCCAGCTAAAGCAGAAGAGATCAGTGAAACCGATGAGCACAAAAAGGTTGAAAATAATGAAAATTGTGAAACGACGAAAAACAAGGGCAATACCCAACTAAAGAAAGACGTTCTCCAATTCATGGCCATTCAGAGGCGAGACACAAAACAGTGGGCAATACCTGGGAAAATGGTGGACCCTGGAGAATCGGCGGAGGACACTCTGGAACGAGAAGTTATAAGGGAAACGCTGAATTTTTTTCCCAAAAAAACAGGTTATGAAAAGGAGTGGAAATTGGTGATAAAGAAATTCACGAAGACAGATCTCGTGTACAAAGGATACATGGACGATCCTAGGAACACAGATAATGCTTGGATTGAAACGACAGCAGTAAATTTCCACGATAATGAGGGGTCGGCCTTCAGTAAAATGCCCCTCACGGCAGGAGGTGATTCGTATAATGTTAAGTGGGTGGATATCGATGAAAGTTTAGACATTGATGCCGAGCACAAAAAGCTTCTGCAATTCGTTGTGCGACTTAGAAATGCCCATCCAGTCATAGGTCCCTGAGAGGATCATTCCAAAAAGAATTCTATTTATTGTTCGATAACACGATAATCTTTCGAAGGATTTAATCCAGTTGATTCAATCTGTCATGTAAAAATAAAATTCTCTTTAAAATTTATTCACACAGATCATTTTTGATAGTTAGAGATTGAGGTGCTTTTATGGTGCCCTTTGCTGCTAAAATTCATGAGATTCTGTGAAAGAGAGACTCGAAATAATTCGAGGAACTGGTAAAGTGAGATAAATGGAATTTTATATTTTTATTGAATGACCGGCATCGACGATGATGATGATTTTTAAAAAATGTCTTCTATTAGAAATAAAATATCAGAATTAGAGTAAGTTTTTAATAAGTTGAAAAATTCGAAATTTTGTAAAAAGTATCAGGGGAACATAAAAATCAAGGAGGTATTCGCTGAAATTTGAAAATTCGACATTCCAAAAAAAAAAATCGAGGAGGTATTCACTGAAATTGAAAAGTTCGAAATTTCCAAAAAAAACATCGAGGAGGTATCTATATATTTTTTATATACATTATGTACATTTTCTTATCTCAGCAGTTGCACAGCAACTTGTCGTCTTAAACTAGTAAACCAACAACAGTTGGAGTTATAGTACGAGGAATCACTAATTTGCAGACTCCATGAGGACTTGACTGGACTGAATCCCCAGGAAATCGAGAAACGTTTCTGTCGAGGTTTTTATGTGACTCCTGTTGTACAGAGAGTCGTAGTTCTCGAGGGATGTATCAGGAAGGTCTGGGATACCTGCGAAGGGGTCCTTGTACTGGTAGGAAGAGTAATCGTCTGACTGTGATGATGGATCCATCGAGCCACCAGTCGATGCTTCTTTTGTCATGATTTTTTCGAGCTTTAGAGCATCTTGAGCCTCGGTTTGGCCCAGACCCGCTGCTCTCGTAAATAATTCATGTGCCTCTTTGAGATTTATCGGAAGACCCCCTCTCCCCTGGGCGTGAAAAACTCCAAGATTGTACATCGCACCTGCGTGCCCATTTTCAGCTGCACTCCTGTAGTATTCAACGGCCTGACAAAATTTTATTCATATTTATTCAAACTGAAAAATTGGCTGAGGGTCAAATCGAGGAAGGAGAAGGTTTTATTTTACCTTCACTGGGTCTGTTCTTGTGCCAATCCCCAGCTCGTAACACAGCCCTAGATTAAACATGCTCCCTGGCGACTTCAGTTGTGCTCCGACTAGAAAATGCTCCATCGCGTCGCTATATCGATGCTCCTCGAGGGCTTTGATCCCATAACGCAACTCGAATTCACCCATTACCATCCTATGGGTTCGAGTATACTCCTCCCTAGCTGCTCCCAGAGCCTATTGATAAATAATTCATCCACGATTAATTATTTTCGAAACATTTCCATGAGTACCCAAAACATAATTTTCTTCCCAAATTTTTGCGTGAAAATAATGGAATTTGATTAATTCTTCGTGAAAAAAACATTTGAATAAATTTAATTGGTGGGATATAATATAGATAATTTTGAAATATTCCGTGATTATCTCACCTCTTCAACAGTGATGGGACCATAAGGTCTCTGCTCCCAGTCCCCCACATTCAGCCCATCATTACCAACGCAATTGGTGACAGGAAGCACATGTTTCGGGTGCAGACTCAGTGCATGCTTAACCAGATAAGATACCTGAGTCTTGGGGCACTTGAAGATCCTGTAAGCGGACTTGTCATTCCTATTCCTGTCAAATATGTTTCTTCTGATGCAGGGGGTTTGGCAGATTGCCCAGCCGATAGCCAAGATACTGGACTGAAACGCAGAAAATTAACTTAAAAATTAACAGAAACTAGCCAACAACAAAGGACCAACAATTCATCTGTTAAAATGATACTCTACCCATCCTAGAACATCGGAGAGGGTTTTCTCTGCACTCCAGCCAGTCTTCTTGTCCTTGGCCCCTCGATTGTTGAAGAAACCACAGAATCCATTGGTGTAACGACAATTTGTCAGACTCGATTTTTTAACGTTTGCACTGGATTTAGCCTCACTATTACACTCTTCGCTCGTTGGTTGGGAGTAAACATTTGTACGACATGCCCGACGTTCAATCGATTCGCGAATTCCCCGGCTTATAAATTTCCACATTGTTTAAATTTTTTATTTATTTATTGTTACTCCGGGGATGTTTGGCAATCGCCTTGGGGCTAGACCGTAGCCCCGACGATGGGATGCATGCACAGACAGGTAAAAAACAGTCGGAGGAGGCCGAAGACACCCGAACAGCAGGAAATCATATCCTGAAGAGGGCGGTGTTAATTTATTCAAATCTGCAGCGCAATAGAAAAATTATCTTCAAACCGTTGAGTTTCGTGCTGAATATTGAAATAACAAATTTTTAAAAATATCCAAAACACCAATAATCAAAAAATTTTCTCTTTTTTAACGATGGCGCTCTCTTAGTTTTTTAAATGAAAAACAGAGACATGCATAATCGAGTGTTATAAATATTCGCAAAGGATATGTTAATGTCACACACATTTTTATATGGTTAGGAGTATATTTGGTAAAAGAATTTTTTTCTCGGAATAGGCTGAGTGATCGCGCAAACAGAATTGTTGAGGATCTGCCTTTAGATTGTCTTTTTATGCAGCTGAGTTTTCGAATTGCCATTAGTACGCTCGAAGACCTCGCGGATGTCAGTTGTTTCCGATTATTTCAGTCTCCAGGCATTTTGTTTACTTGAATGTTTAATGAATAACAGTTTGAAATCCCAGGTTACAAGGAATTGAGGAATTTCTTATTAATGAGAGATTCGAAATAATCGAGTTAATTCTGTCAACAATATCGAAGCAACAACGATATAAATCAGATACGCCTAACCAGTGAGTTCAACTTTTTAGTTAATTCAGGGGATAAACAATTAGTCCAATCAGAAATGATTTCGTTGCATTGGGTTTGCACAATTTTTCCGGAAATTCCCTCAATTATGACTCATTCATCATTGAACTTCGTTATCTTATCTAATCTTCATTATTCTTTCTCCTATTTACTGAATCAGATATCGATTTTTGAACTCCACACATTCAAATTTTTTACTCGAAAGGCCATTAGTGTACCCTCATTTGCATTTGTACACGTTTTTATTTTTAGAAAAATGCCTCTATTGCGACTATAAAAAAATCGCTTCACATTCCCCCATTTTTTATCATTTATTCATTATCCACTGGTGACCGTCAAATCTAAAAATACCCGTATTACCTCATCTGAACTTTAATTTCGTTGCTTCCAGATCATCATGATTACCTGTTCAAAGCTCCTGATTATAAAGATCAGCGAATTGGTAAGTACCTGGAACTTATGGGCATCAATCGACCTTGAAGCTACATAATTTCTCTAATCGACATATCGATCATCCTGAAGCAGGCGAAAATAATATTTCATGTTATTTATCAGACCCACAAAAGTAGTTCAAGGACTTGCGTCGAGTAGATGAATTTCCCAGAAGGGGAATTCAAAGAAAATCAAAATTCCAGGCATGACGTGTCCTCTCAAGAATTTTAATATTGCGCAATCAATCACCACTGAATTAGAACTGTTAGCATTGAGTCTGCTTGCGTATAGCTGCGGAAAATTTATTGAATGAAGTCATTCATATTGAATTAATTTTTTTTTCTTGGGGCGATTACGTTACAGGCTCTAGTAGCAATCATCCTGGCGATCCACGTGAACGAGCCTTTCTGCAATCCAGAGGACAAGTTCTTGTCAGCGGGTACTGAAGTCGCTTATTTAATCATTCTGGTCGGTCTTTTTGCTGGGGGTTGGGTGGGAACACCCGTCCATCGTAATGTGGTAAATAAACTTTTGATTAAAAAATATTTATCGCATGTTTTTACAATATTTTTACTTCTTTCTAACAAAATTTAATTCAGCCTCAGAATTTATTTCTTTCACGTGGAATTTTGTAGTTTTATTATGTGATGTCAATTTTTGTACAGGATTTATTTTTCCTCGTAATTGGGTGTGGCCTCTTCATCGCTTCCGGTGCGACGACCATCGACCTCTGGACCAGAGTCGTGTTCAGGGACAAATACCGTGACATGGCCCTTGCCAGGGCCTCACTATCTATTCTCGAAGGGGTTGTTTTTCTCATCGACACTTTCTTCACGTACCGGGGCGAAAAGTTCGTTCGATAGTTCGATAGAGGAAAATATATCGAAGAAAACTGCACTGAGTAATTTAAGGGCATTACGAGTAATCTAATGAAACACAAAGTATTTTTGTAATGACTCATCGGTGATGCTCATTGTTGTTTCATCATTCGTTATGACTTCTGTTGATGTGTATTCAGAGATTTATTCCACCTCCCACAAATTCATTTGCAGTGGACAGATAAGAGAAAATAATTAATTTTCATTTAATAATTACAAGACGTGTACCAAGCACAAGCTTTAATACGAAATAAGTGGAAATTAATGTTCTATAATTTCATTAATTCAAAACAAAGAAAAATCAGGGATTTTGGAGTTTTGTCACAATATTCACGAATTGACACTTCATTAAAATATTGACTACTTCAATTACCACGTGACTAAAAAAATCAAGTGCCGAAAATGTAATCGCAAAAAATTCCCATTTTCCACAGATTTTCGCTAGTCTTAATCGTTCATGTTCGTCAAAAATAGTATTGCATTTACTAATAGAATTACTAATTTTGTTACAAATATTGTGAAAATAAACTAAATTACACAAAAAATCCCGAAATCTTTTCAATTCAATTCTAACATCAAGATACCCGAAATAAAATGTCAAAAAAGACTAAAAAAATTCCAAAAATTACCAATGGTCCCCAACACCTGCCCCCTCCGCAAGAACTTCCAACGGCCTCCACAAATTCAAACTTCCCGCGTCTCCCTCCACCACAGGACGACAAAAACCCATTGAAAACTCGCCCAAAAAATCGACACCCGAAAAACCCCTTAAGTTTTTCGGTTGTTGCGTGTGGGGCCTCGGCGCTCACAAGTCGTCGCCGTCGGGTGCTTGGCAATTTAATTTCTTCATTATAATTTACAAATCCCAAAAATTCCATCCCGCGTTGTGAGCAAGTGTCAGTGAAGTACCGAATTATCGGTACGGTGCATTAAATGTGTGTGAATAATGTCGAATCCCGGCGGTAGCAGGAGGAACGGGGCGACAAAGATACGCCTAACAAGTGAGTTTTTTTTTTTTTGCACCCAAGATCCTCCCGAGACCCTCAAACCTCATCCCCCCAGGTCCACAACTAAATTACAAACCGATAAATTAATGCAAATCCGATGAATCGACTCCTCGGACATTAACTCCTTCCCCTCCCACCCCCTCATGCACTTCCATTACTCCCTCCCCCCTCCCCCACCCCGTGAAAGTTTCTCACTTGGAAAGTAAACTAAAATAATTCCGCAAGTTTTTGCTCTAAGCGCATAGTCACCGTACATCCCAACAAATTAACCATCATTAACACCAATATGGCACACGAGTGCAATGATTCCCCTGCAATTGATTTCAACGTCATCCCCCTCGTCATTGACTCCATGCCCACAGCCAAACAAGTACAGAGTGACCTTACATGTCCATGAATTTTATGAATAATTATTAACACCGAGAATATTAATTGTGGTATCACAATAAAATATTGGAACTTTACAATCTGAGGTTTGATGTGCAAATTTATTTCCCCCTCCGGGCAGATATTATTTATTTGTCTGTCTGCTAATGGTAGTGGGGGGTGTGAGATACTCACATGTTAATTAATTCGAGAAAAATAATTTTTGGGGGATTATTGGGCCTTGGGAAGTGCTGGGGACCAGGGGACCCCACGGGCTAGCTCTCTGGGAGGGCGAGGCCGTTTTATTTCACCAGCACAATTCAATCTAGACTCATCTCGACCAATTAAACCACTCAATTTTTCGACTCCCGGTTTTATTCACTGGAGGGGCACTAAATTCTGATAAGGGGATCAGATGTGTTGATGCTTTTTTCGGGGATTATTGTTGCTACAGGGGATTTTGTCGGTATCCCTGAGTTCGGATTTGATGAGGAAACATCGAAATCTTGGGATTTCTTTTTAAAGGCTGACTTGGTGGTGGAATTAATATTTGCTCGAGAGAAATCAGGAATACGTGCGGTAATGCAAAATTGAATTGTAGATATTTAATCAAGAGATATTTCATAATTGGGCTCCATAATTTATTTTAACTTTCATATAAAAATGTTATAATTAAAAATTTACTTTTCATTCAATACAAATTGAATTTTATTTGAGTGTAATTTTATTGAGGAAATGATTTTTTCTTCTCCAAATCGATAGTCATCGAAATAAATCGATAATTACTCATCTTCCCCTGAGGGTTTGTGCTAATTTCATTGGATTTTCCAACAGTTCTCTGCGCCAGGAATCTAGCCAGAAAAGATTTATTCCGTAAGTACCGAGAGATTGTGTAAACAATTGACAGACTGGAATTCATAAATATCGATTGTTGCAGGCTTGCCAGATCCTTTTGCTAAAGTCACTGTCGACGGATCTGGTCAGTGTCACAGCACTGACACCTGCAAAGCAACACTAGATCCAAAGTGGAATCAGCATTATGACTTGTGAGAATTGTTTTATATTCTCCATCGAAATTCCTTACGCAGGGTTTAAAAAAGTGTCATGCATTTAAAATGTTAAAATCATTTCAGATACATCGGAAAAAACGACGGTATCACAATATCCGTGTGGAATCACCGCAAAATTCACAAAAAACAAGGGGGCGGTTTCCTGGGATGTGTCAGAATACTTTCAAATACGATACAGAGGCTTAAGGATACTGGATGTAAATACATATCTAATCTCACAAGTTTATTCGAAGAATTATCTCAACTTATCTCTCTCCATAAATAGAAGAAACCCCTAATAGCTATTTATCCTACAGATCAGCGTCTAGATCTCTGCAAAGCACACACCGATGACACAGACGTGATCAAAGGTCAAATTGTCGTCTCATTGCTGTCTAGAGACGGTCACAATGGGGCTGTTAGCAATACCGTGGGTCACAATGCTGTTGTCGATGTACTTGGTGACCTGAGCTGTCCAACGGATCTGCCTGATGGATGGGAAGAGAGGAGAACTGAGAGTGGAAGACTTTACTACGTAAATCATTACACGAGGACAACTCAGTGGATTCGTCCCAACACTCGGTACGTACCTTTAAATATTTTCTTTCTTTGCTGTCATTTTTTTTTTCAGCCAACCCCATCGATTCTATGAATATTCAATACCATTATTTTCATATTCCTATTTATTTTTATTGATTTTGTAGAGCATTGTTTTATGTTCCTTCTCGCGTTTTAATTCTTTACAGTCGTCTGCAGTTCGAGAAGAGTGTTTTTATCCTTCATGAATATTTAGTAACGTTCATTGAATATAAGAGTTGCAGATGGTGTTGTCTTTTGAATTATAGTTTTCAAGGGATTTTGGTGAAAGCCCAGTCTACTTAAGGTAGAAATTGTAATTTCTTTTTAGGCTGGTAATTAATTCATTTATACAGACGTTTTAAAATTGAGGACATGAGAGTGTAATAAAAACGCGTACCCCGGAGGGTAGAGGGGAGTTAATTGCGCGTCCAGTGACTCGAATCCCCCCAATTAATCCAAAAAAAAACCTGGCGCCCTGTTTTCAGACCGACGACAGCAATAATTCCAACGACCCCAGAGCCACCAGTAGTTTCCTCGGAGCCCACATCGCCATCGAGCAGTGGCTCACCATCTGGTCCAAACGAGAGTCCCCCTCGTCCACCAGACACCTGGAACGATGGTACACCAAGCAGAACGCCGAGTCGTGACAATTCGGGACAGAACACCCCACGGAATACCCCAACTCAGACTCAAAACACCCGGAATACGACTCCACCCTCGTCAGGCCGAGATCGTCGACCTCGAGGTTCAGAGGACCAGAACGCGAATCAGAATGTAAACCAGGCAGCGAACAGAGGTAGTAGCCAGCCGAGACGCCCCAGCAGGCCAAACAGAACTCGAAACGAGAGGAGAAACGAGCCCCAGCCCTCAGATCTACCCCGAGGCTACGAGATGCGTCAGACTCAACAGGGACAGGTCTACTTCTATCACGTACCAAGTGGTGCATCAACGTGGCATGATCCCAGAATTCCCCGCGATCTCCCAGCCAACGAGTTGGCGAACGAGCTGGGGCCCCTACCCAGTGGCTGGGAGATGCGTCAGACACCGAGTGGTCGAGTTTACTTCGTGGATCACAACAATCGTACAACGCAATTCACTGATCCTCGCCTGTCCACTCAGATAATTAACAACATCCTGAAACGCCAGAGCAGCGGTCAGCCCCTGCCCCAGGGTACAAGCTCAACCCCTCGCGCTGAAAATCCAGAGGTGGCACCCACCAATGCCAACCAAATTACCAACAGCAGAACAATAACTAATAATAATTCACCTACAGAGACGAATAACACTCAGACAATATCAGATCTACCAAAGGAGTTGATGGAGAGTGAACTCCTCCCCAAGTACAAACGAGACCTCGTGGCGAAGCTTAAGTGCCTCAGGGCTGAGTTGAATGCCCTCCAGCCACAGAGTGGCCACTGCCGTCTGGAGGTGTCGAGAAATGAGATATTCGAGGAGTCTTATCGTATTATCATGAAGATGAGGCCGAAGGACATGAGGAAGAGGCTCATGGTGAAATTCAGGGGGGAGGAGGGATTGGATTATGGTGGTGTTGCCAGGGAGTGGCTGTATTTGCTGTCACACGAGATGCTTAATCCCCAGTATGGACTATTCCAGTACTCGAGGGATGATAATTACACTCTGCAGATCAATCCAGACTCTGGAATTAATCCAGAGCATCTATCGTACTTTCATTTTGCTGGGAGAATAATTGGAATTGCTGTGTTCCACGGACACCACGTTGATGGGGGTTTTACCACACCTTTTTACAAAATGTTGTTGAATAAAGGGATTACGTTGAGTGATATCGAGGGAGTGGATCCAGAACTCCACAGGAGTCTCACTTGGATGCTGGAGAACAGTATCGATGGGGTGTTGGATGCTGCATTCTCGGTGGAGCACAGTAGCTTTGGGGTTTTGAGGAATCACGAGCTCAAGCCTGGGGGTAAGGATATCACTGTCACTGAGGAAAACAAGAGGGAGTACGTGAGGTTGTACGTTAATTATCGATTTATGAGGGGAATTGAGCAGCAGTTTCTCGCTCTGCAAAAGGGATTTCACGAGCTCATACCTCCTCAACTACTCAGGCCTTTTGATGAGAGGGAACTCGAGCTCGTGATTGGGGGACTCGGGACTATTGATATTAATGATTGGAAGATGCATACCAGGCTAAAGCATTGCACACCTGATACACCTGTTGTCAAGTGGTTCTGGCAGATTGTCGAGTCTTATGGGGAGGAGATGAGAGCCAGGCTATTGCAATTTGTCACTGGCAGCTCCAGGGTGCCACTCCAGGGATTCAAGGCTCTTCAGGGATCCACTGGAGCTGCTGGACCCAGATTGTTCACTATTCATGCTGTTGATGCACCTTGTGAGAATCTACCCAAGGCTCACACTTGCTTCAATAGGATTGATATTCCACAGAGTTATCCTTGCTATCAGAAGATGCTTGATAAACTCACACAAGCTGTCGAGGAAACCTGTGGCTTCGCTGTCGAGTGAATAGGTGAGCGAGATTTTTGAGGAATTTTTTTTATTAAATATTCCATCGATTGAGTCATTGATTGATTCAAATTTGAAAATTCATTTTCTCGGGAATTTGAAAATTGGTCATTATTTTCTGGCGTATCGTATTAAAATCGTGAAAATTTTGTAAGCAAAGTTGGTCAGTCCCCTCAACTAGGAAATTTTTCGGTCTACTAACTCCTGGAAAGTAAAAGGTAACTAGTGGAGCTGAAGAATTTAATGAGTGCTCAAAGAACTGTTGAAATTTTGTATTCCACGTTAATACTTTCATTTCCAATTCCGGGTGCATCCTGGTTTTAATTTTCCACTGGAGTTTTCTGCAGAAAATTTATAATTAGCGAATTCCCTAATGAATTAGTGGGGAATTTTTGCATTAAACGTTCGGGAAAATTAGTTCACTATTTTTTAATAGAGTATTCCGTTTCAGGGTAAATCTCAATGCAAAGATTCAGATAAGGAGTAATCAGCGCTCACGAGTGCAAGAACTTGATACAAGTTCAATGCAGAAATTTTGCATTGATTTTTGAAGAAGGAAATGAGTAAAGCTCGGCCTAGTTGTCGTCCTTCGCTTCCTGACATATCCTTCCCACGCAGAAGGCGATTACACTTGGCACACGTCATGGTTAAATAGTCACAGTCAATTAATACCATATCATAAATTCATTATCAAAGTTGCAAACCAAGACGAGTGAGATTTTGAATTTTTTTCAACTATCAATTTATCCTGACAACCATCGACTTGCGGCAGAACATTGAAAAATCTTTTTGTTGTTGTTTACATTTTCTACAATACATGCCTCTTGGCATTTTTTTGCCATCGCTTGGTTTTCAAGATAATTGAATAATTGAGGAAAATATTATGACTTGTCGAATCTGGTCACTTTGTTGTGAGATAAAAAAAAATGATAATGAGAGTGATTTTGGGCTGAAGATGCTCAAGTCCAGCTGGCTCGTTCAGCTCGATCACCTGAGATTTTTAAAACGGCCTGGAGACTAAATTTCAATTGACTGACTGTTCACATCACTAAATTTTTTCTCTTGAATTTGAAATGGCAATTCAAATTCGGTGATTAATTTATTGGTAGTTACGTTTGGGAATGTGTCATTTTCCCGAGTATATTATAAATAATTTTTAGAGATGAATTAGGTTCTGATGATTAATCAGTTGATAACGCCCATTTGCATATCAACTTATTGACAATTGAGTGCAATGAGCCTTTAGGAGACGAATAAATGTAAATAGTTGATACGAAGCTCGATGGAGATGGAGGGACAAACGTTGTTGAATGATGAAAAATTGAATTTTTAAAAAATTGAATTTTTTTCCCTAGTGAATATTTAATGAATGTAGAATTTATTTAAAAAATCGCAAGTATTTGAAGGATTGTATTTAAGTGATAAATTATGGAGGATTGAGGGTGAGGCCTCGGGTCGTAACCCTTGCACGTATGTGAAATTATTTAATGAGTTTATCAATTTTAATTATCACGAGGCTATGAATCACTTAGACACCTCGATTCAATTATTTTTCACTTGTATCATCAGTAGACCGAGTACTCAGTTGGTTTTTTGAATTTTCTCTATCGAATTTTAGTCAGGAATTTCTCAGTGTTGAAGCAGTAAAAATAACATATCATATTGTTTGTTGATTTAATGAGCAACTGATATTTCAAATTCAGGGAAGCGTCCAATTGTCGAGAGTGCCTTTGAGATAATTGTTGAATCATATCAGAGAAATAAATGAGAAGTAAAGTGAAAAATTCTGGCGATAACTGTTGAAAAAAATAAAATGGAACAAATTGATGGTTGAAAAATTATTGTAAAAATGAATCTGACAGTTGTGAAATTTTACACACCACGAGTTGTTGAACAATAAAAATTGATAAACTAATGAAATTAATGCGTGAGAGAACGATGAATTATGACTCTCTGTTTTGTAATTGACTGCTAAATTATTTGCTTTAATATTTTTTTAATTTTCATCGTATTTCAGTGACAGGTACCATTGGCCAAGCCATTAACCCTAGTTGCTTAATTATGAAAAAAAAAGACTAAATAATTAGAAAATTTCTTTCTCGAGGCGCTAATTTTATTGAGAAAGTCAGTGAGTCACTAAATTAATTGACGCTCTGGTTAATTAGGCAGACGCACACACTGTGAAACAGCTTGATAACAAATATCTATTATTATTTTCTATTTCGACGCACCGTTAAACAAAAAATGCCACCAATCTACGAACAATTACGACAAGTTTTTGATTGTTATTATCAATAACATTTATTGTTAACTGTAGTGATATTTCGTCCCATATCATCGGCATCTAACGATTTTATTTGTATCCAATCATATTACCGTTGTTATTATTGTAATTAACTTTGACAACGAAAAACGAGGAAATACTGAAGAACGAAAAAAACATATCTGTTCGAGCATTAAATATTGTACATATATTTTTTCTTTTATTTCTTTTCTTTTGTATTTTGGATGAAATGTATATTTTAATAAAATATCCAAAGGAAACATTCAAAAAACTGCATTATCTATTTTACCATTTACCACTGTAGAACATCTAATTAATTATTAATTAACAAATTCATTATTTCTTCCAGCATAAAGACGAAAATTATGAATGATATCAATAATAAATTTGACATTGACAATTGTCAGTTGCAAAGAATTTCTGAAATTGGAAAAACGGCGAAAATAATTCCGATACATTTTTGATGGATTAATATAATCCTCGGGAGAATGCCACGGGTTTGACGGCTCGTCCCCTAGTTTTTCTACCCATCAGGTCACGGAAGAGGAACGAGCGTGCTTATCGTGCATCGTCACTCCAAACTACCCCCGAAATCTTCTCGATTCTTTTCTCTTTCCCCCGTTTTCACCGACACTTCACACCATGTTGTGACCTACCGTACTCTCCTGGTTGTATCTGGGTCCCTCCATTGGTGGCTGACGTGCGCGAAAAAAGCACGTCGAGAAGAGACAATCTAATTTCACCGAGGCCACGATCACCCCGGATAAGATATTTTCTAAATTGAATTCTTTCATAACCGGAGCAGACGAATTCCGTCATCATCACGTCAACCCAGACATCCAGGACTCCAGCGAATCGAATACTGGAAGTAGCGCAAAATTATTTGCCCGATGTTTCATTGAAAATTAAACCGCCCCTTAAATTGGAAAATCTTAATTTTCAATTTTTTATATTTCATATTGAAATAATAGCAGAAAAGTTGAAAGCACCTGACGTCATTGGGCCATCGAATGTTCTGGGTAACGGGAATAGTCGAGTGGTTGACTGGAAATACTCGAGGGACCGCTGGAAATAAAGTTGGAAGGCACCACAACCCTCTCGAGGATGTGTAGTTGCATCGTCAAGTCATTTCTGGGGAGAAATTCTCGAGTGCCAAAAGACTGCAGCGATGGAAGGCCAGCGGAATTTCAATCCCCCACTTGTTTCGCAATAATCGATTTCCCATTATCAACAGAATAGACCGAAAAAAAAAAAATGATAGTCCCGTCGAAAGTCTACAATTCGCCCCAAAAAAGCAATCACCGATAATTTCAGAATTAAAAAATAAAAGAAATCATAGAATCGCGTAAATAACGATCGCAGAGGTGTGAAGAAATTTTCGCCGAAGGGTGATAAGTGGGTCCACCCTCTTTGGATGCTCCAGGGCATCGAGCACCCGATCCTATCATGTCTCCGGATGTCGTTGAATGACGTCATCATCCACGAGGGATTGACGTGGATATCTCTAGTGGTTTATCCCCTAACTTTGTTGAAGAGAAAAATCTCGAGCACCTGATCGACGCTCCAATTCCCAATTGAAGACGCCAACCCCTAATTCATCGCAAGAAGATAAACTTACATTCAGAATATTCATGAACCATCCTTTCCAATCATCAAACACTCCCACGGCCTCAATAATAAAGTTCAAGTGGTGGATGAATTTTTTCAAAGGCCTTCAAATAAATCAATCAGGGCGAAATGTCAGCCGAGAATTTTTATTTCTTCAAATTATTTCACTCTATAATAATTAATCAATTCTCTTTCCTATTGCAAAAACATCCAATGCACTATGAATTTTAATTCATTTTATTTTAATTCATTTTTCAAGGATTCGCGATTAAATAATCTTTTCAACACTTGTTTATTTAATTTCTAGGACATATCTACGTGTTTATAGCAATAAACAATAGTTCAATAAGTGCTGGTGCATTTATTGATGATTATTTGTGTTTTATTGATTTTGTTGGTGAATGATGAAATGATGAATGATGAATTTTTTAATTTTTTAATATTAACGTTTTGTCTTGGGGTGGTGGTAGTGGTGAAAAAATATTTTGCAAAAAGAATATGAAATGTTCGGTAGTGGAGAGCCTGAAATGCTCTAACGATTATAATTGCGGACATTGTCAAAGGCAGAGGGATGCGATCAGTACGAACACATGAATCTACCCTCATCCCTCCTCCACTTACCCCTCATCATCAGCGATACTTATCTCTCAGAATATCGGTGACGAGATACACTCATGTACACGTGGGATTACACCGTATAACAGTTCTCTCCCTCTTCTCCTACCCCTCCGACAAACCCCTCACCCTTTCTCGCCACCTCGGCTTTTCAAGAGTGGCCACTCCACCCTCTCCATTCCTCTTTCTCCCTTTTCTATTCACGGCACAATTTCGAGGATCGATCCCTCTGCATCGCGAAAAAAAAAAA